GTAGGGTGGGGCTTGATTTCGTCCTTCGGGAATTGATTCGATGGTTGGAGGTTAGGTGTTGCAAACAAAATGGAGGCAGATTTGAATGCCAATTTACATTCAGTCTGAGAGTCGGTGCACCGATAGCCGCACCCTCATCAGCTCTGGCCGCACCCTTTCGCCATGGCACGTGACCGAAAAAGAAAAGAGGTCGTTTCGAGGGGGGAGGGAAGGGTAATGTATTTGATTAAAGATTATGAAGATACATGAATTAAAAAAAATAATGAAGTCCGCAGATAAATCATTTACAATAAACACTACGATATTACATATAAAAAGAAGATTTGTCAAATTTGACTTCATGCCGACTTTAAAGGTTCTTCAATGAACCATCAATACCAATAAATACAGGGCCGGCCCGAGGCATAAGCGAACTAAGCGGCTGCTTGGGGCCCCCTGGCCACCAGGGGGCCCCCTAATCGAGGTTATTTTTTATTTTTATTTTTTTAGATGACTTAAACAAGTGACATAAATCAATGAATGAATGAATATGACTGAATGAATAGTTCAAGACAACAAAATTCTGATTTAATGGTCAATATACCTGCCTACAAGTTACAACTGCTGCTCTGTCTGCCAGCGTTTAAGTCATACGCATAATCTTCTAGACACCTCGCGCGTGCATAGACAATTCGTGCGCAACTGCGCCTAGTCACGGTATCGGTTTAAGTTGGAGAAAATAGCCCGCAGGAGAACTTATCCTTCAAGGTGTAAGGGTAGCAGTTTGAATAAATAATAAACATAGCAGTTTGAACTCTTCTCCACTTTATTATACCACACATCAGATCTCCAAACACCCGCGACACTCCAGTAGCCTAGCAAGTGCGCACGACCCATCTACGGCAAGCCCCTAGGGGAAAAATACATTGCATACACACATACAACGAGCGCCAGAACATCATAACCGGTATTATAGTAACAGACTGTGTTGATTATGTCATGTACTATATAACAAAGTCTGTTACAATAATAATAATAACAATAATAAAGAGTTTGAGGATAGTTACTCTGTATTGAGACAGTTGAGAAATAGGCTAGTAATATTTTTAGTTTTCAACAATAGCTGAGACCCAGAAAGTTTTTTTTTTTTTAATTTAGTTTTTTTTCATGTCATCACATTGTTTAGAGCATAATAAACAAATGGTAAAAAAAAACAACAACCTTTTTGAAAAATTATATTTTATTCATATGTAATACTTTGTCCTCTGTAGTGGACACCAGGACTCAGTTGTTAAAATTAAATGACATACAATGTGTAGGCAAAAACAATGGGATTTTTTTTCCAATCACCAATACATTTTGGGGTTTCAGGATTTCTTTGAACTAAAATTTGTATAAAGATGATTATCAACTATGTTATGAAAGATATAATGGAATTAATTGATACACCAATTTACTTTATGCAATATATGGGTAAAATTGGCATAAATTAATATTCCCATTCAATGCAAAGTATCTATACACTGTATCTAATTTGCACATTAATGTGTTCTTGGAGCAACATTTAATGAGGAAAGAAGTGTAAGCATTGGCGTAATAATAAGCAACATTTTAATAATAATATCTAATATGTCATAAGAATATTGACGTATAATTTATTTACATATTCACTTGTTATGTCTCCCAGAATGCCTGATAAACATGATTTATGTCCTGATGTTCTCTACAGTGGACATGAATGAAATCAATGCCCTGTAACGCAAAGTCATTTTTTTCATTTGAAACCCCATAACATTTTCATGAGATGTTGGTTGATGAAATACAATTTGAAAAGTAGTTAGATTTAAATTATAATTACAATATATTACCATATTTCAATAAGAGTGCTACATTTGATCACTAAATTAATGTTAGACATTTTTAAAGACCAAGGAGAAGTTGTTTTCATGGTGAAACCTCCAAACATTTGGTATCTCTGTATTGCCCTGAATGTGCTCTTTACAGGACATCCAGAAAAAAAAATGTGACATGCATGGTGTCAGAGAAATACACTAAAATATAATGTCCACTACAGTGGACAAAAGTCTATTCCTGGGTCCCAGGAGGATAGGCCAAAGTATCATTGCTCTTACGTTTCTAATTTCTCAGTTTTGTCATAATTTTAGCAAATAATTTATTGTATATGTTTTGAGACAGTTTTAAGACTGTTTTCAAACTTTTTTATTTAAGTAGGCATCTATTTTTTTATTAATACATAACCTCAGTGTATTCATTTATAATGTATCATTTTTGCGTGACATTTATGTCAATAATCGTCAAACACAGGTGACTCCGCGTCGTGGGAGGGGCCCCCAAATCAAATTCTGCTTAGGGCCCCCAAAAGGCTCGGGCCGGCGCTGAATAAATATATTTATTTTTTAAGAGTGTATGAATTAAAAAATGTTATATATAAAAATGGCACATTTCTAAGTTAAATGCAAATAAATTAACACTGGCAGTTTATAAAGTCAACTGTAAAATGGTTTGTTGTATACCACTGGCCAGGGATAGTTTTATGTTTAATGATAATAATATATATTGGTTTCTAAAGTTACTTTTGGCACAATATTTTCATTAACTTATTAATCTGCCACATCATTGAATTATCTTCAACTGGAAGATTTCATTTGGTTTGTGGTTATAATTCAGTTAAACCATTGCATTCATGTATTCACAATAGGTTCTCTCTTTCCAGCAGTGTGGAATGGTACTCGAGTTACTATCAAGAGATACATTCCCTACTAAGGGTCTGGGACCATTTATCTTAACCATTTATCTTAACACTCATTAACCAGGCTAGGGCAGGCAGAAGAATTTTGTGAAGTGATAAGCCCACTTGTTGAATTATGGACTGAAGTCTTTTCCTACTTTCTGCCCAACACAGATAACAATGGAATGTGTATTCGTACAGCAATTCAGTGTTGTGCCTGTGGGACTTAGTACTGAGCTTTCAGAAACACAAGGCTAGACACGTCACTGGGGGAAAAAAATCTTTGACAGCAGCCCTAGATGATTGAAACTGATGCTGCAAAATTCCAAGTTCTTGTTTGCAAAATCTGAATAATTACAGTTCCATTAGAGATCCGCTGCACTGCAATATATTTATGATGATTTCTCTTTTGAGAGGCATGAAGCATGGCAACCAACAGTTTTAAATCAGTTTAACCACAGTCAAACTTCTTGTTTGAAAATGTATTTCGCTACAATAGAAGATTTTAACCACAAAATATCTACCGCAAGATATAATCCATATCAACCAGAGCCTAATGTTTCTGCCACACAAAAAAAAAAAACATTGAGGTTATTTGAATGTGTTAGAATCTCAATTATGCACTGAACAAATAAATATACTTTCAATTAAACTTAAAAAATGGTACAGTATAAACAACAACATCTGGGGAGCATTTTTAATCAGTTCAAAAAAAGTACAGTTCCAACAAACGGATTCATTTTCCAATAAGAGAGAGATGCTTAGTACACAGATTCACTTGAATGAATCAAAATAGAATGATTCAAACTGTTTGGGTTGAACCAATTCTCTAGAATGAATCAGAACGGAATGAATCAGATTATTTAGGATGAACTGATGTACTAAAATGAATCAGACCATCAAGGATATACAGTACCAATTCACTATAATGAATCAAAATAGAATTAATCAGATCATTCAAAAGTTATCAATTCACTAGAATTAATTAGTTTATTGAGAGAGTGGACATTTTAGGATAATGTTTTGATTATAATTTTAGTCACAGCTGCGATACAATATATAAAACAAGTAAGCAACACAGTTGCTAAAAAAGGAGCTTGTTACTGAAAAATTAGTTATTTACTCCTCAACACTGCTCTTTTTTTCAGCACAACTAAAGTACTAGACCCAATGAACAGTAATTACGTCAATGAACCTCAAACCTTGGTGTTCCTCTTTGTGCTCTGGAGTACCATTCTGCATGAAACTCAAGGCCCTAATTATAGAGAAGGAGGATTAAGTAGACTAGTGCTGAAAAAGAGGAAAACAGGTGGTATAAAACAAGAGAAGAGAAGGAGAAAAAGGATTGGGGGTGATAAAGACCACATTTTCTTCTGGAGGGTCAAAGAAAGGAGGTGAATGAACTCTCTCTATCGAACTCTTGGGTGGTAAAGGGAAAGTTTCAATCATATACTAGCAAAAGTAGACTTTCTCATCAGGACTTTGCTGTGTAGTTTCTTGTGTGAAAAACCTCCTTTCAAGCATAAATTCCAACGCTTTCAGATCATCAGTGAGGGGGCAGACATGACTCAGCTGACAGCGAGGAATTGTGGGGAGTGTCTTTCTGAAACATTTTGCCTTGCCAGACACCTTTGAAAGGAACCAACCGACTGAATCGAACTGCAAAGCTTTGATAAGGACAATATGCTTCCAAGTTCGTTTTTTTTTACTTAAGATGCTTGTAAAAGTCTGAACATTTACAGATTTAATTTTGACAAAGCCTTGACCTACATGTTTATATAAACCAAAAGCTAAACTGTGGTTAAAAATCCTTACATCTTGGTTATTATCATGCTCTAAAACAGGTGATGGAAGGTAATTGTTCACTCGTTTAGGTCTCAGACGCCACCACTCTGCTTTCATCTCATGGTTAAACCAGTTTAACATTCTCTACTAGTTGAAGCATTTAAACCTGCCTTTTTGTCTGACAAAAAATCTTTTTGGTAAGGCAAACAGTCTCTACGATCTCTATTATGTTTTGTGACCTTGAGAAGTGTATCAGTGCGCCCTGTGGTTTTTATCCTCCCGTCTTTCTTTTAGCTGTTTTTAAGTTCACTGCTGCCAGTATAAAACTTCAATACAAACTGTAAAAATGAGAGCACAGTATTGGCTCGCTGGGTGAGGCAGAAGTCAGGTCGATCGATATTCTCAACAGCACCTCCTGGAAAGAGGCATGGGGCGTTCTTGGGGACAGTATATAAATGTCTGTATGACCTTTATGCTTTTGTTGCAGGGTCCAGAAGGAGATGATGAAAAGCCCACCTCTGATACCCTGATCACACCACAGGCGCAGCCTGATGTACGTCACAGCTTTGTACAGGAGCACTTCCAAGCACAATACAAGTAAGTATTTAATAAATAAATAAATAATAATTATTTATTTAAAATAAATTAATTAATTCATTAAGAGAGTGTCATCAATAGCAATAGATAAGCATAAATAAATAAATTAATAATAAATAAATTAATTTATAAATAAAATAAATGAATTAATTTTAATAAATAATTTTTTTTTTTTTGAAAAAAAGAAGCCTTACTGACTGCCAACTTGTAAATGTTATTGTTAAATGTATAAATTATATCAAAGTTATATCCAACTATGACATTTGAAAGCATAGTAGTAGAAAATAGCATACATGTAAAAATGTGTACTACTAGTAATTTCCACTGGAATAAATTGTCTATCTGTGAAAGTGGAGAAAATAGGACAAAAAAGCACAGATCTTAACCATACAGTAGATAGTTATCTACACTATTTTGTTTAAAAAGCATATTAAAACCAACTGGTATTTGTGTTTTGGACACTGTTTTTAAAGCAAACCAAGTTCATTTTACTGTATATATTAATAAATCCCAGTGACAAGCTGTTGTATTCCTTAAAGGTAAACCATTTGCACATTTTCTTACCGAGAGTTTTGAGAGAATGATGACTTAGGACCTGGAATATTTTTTTTTTTAAATCCCAGGACCAACTTTCCAAATCTGCCCCCATCCACTTGCTATGACATGAGATGAATGAGTTTATGTTAACTCCAGGGATACGGTCCCCTCTTTTCCCCCAGATCAGCTAATCATATGTGTTAACGAATATTGATAAAGCCAACAGATTTGGGATGCAGCATATGTCCAACTGCAGCAAGCTGTTTTTAGACAGAAGATCCAAACAAACCATCACCATCAAGCAACTCCAATCAGGCCAGATGGTTTGGTTGTCCACAAGGGATCTCCATTTGAAGTCTCCATCAAAAAAGCAAAGACTTTGATTGGTGATCCATTTTAAGTTCTAAAACAAATACCTTCAGTCGGTTTCAAATAAAACCAACTTCACATTCAAACTGACAGACAACTCAAGCTTTATATATAAAAAAAAACATTATGTAGGACACAATACTGTATATATCAATCAATCAATCAATCGAATTGAAACTAATCTTTTTCCGAGTCATTTGGTTCATTCAACCAACGAATGGGCTTTATGCCCAGCTGCACTACTTCCTGAACTTCAGCCAGCTCCTTGTTTCCTGTCTGCCATTATTGGCCAAATTGATTAATTCAGGTGTGTCTGATTATTGTTGCCATGACTACTGAGGTCAAGCACACCTGAATTAATCAATTTGACCAATAATGGCAGACAGGAAACAAGGAGCTGGCTGAAGTTCAGGAAGTAGTGCAGCTGGGCATAAAGCCCATTGACTCGGAAAAAGATTCGTTCATTTTGATGAACAAATTCGAAAAGGAGAGTCACGAACGTGCATCACTGAACAGAGCAAGGCGAGCATTTGAGCTTATAAAACTTAAACTTTGTTATTTATTTATTAAATGAGCGATCGTTTCGCTTGATAAGACCCTTATTCATCGTCTAGAATCATTTAAAGCTCTTTAAACAGTTTGCAGTTTGTACTGAAACTGTCTTTTGGACCTTGAACCGTTTGGTTCCCATTGAATTGCATTATATGAAGAAAAATGTAGAATGTTTTCATCAAAAACCTTCATTTCTTTTCGACTGAAGAAAGAATGACATGGATATCTTGGATGACATGGGGGTGAGTAAATTATCAGCAAAATTTTTTTCAAAAGTGAACTACTTCTTTAAGTGAACATAAACAGTTGGGAGTTAAGTTGCATGTGTAATAGTCTATTGAGTCTGGGCATTCGATCTTGAAGTGACGGCAGCCTAATATTCCTGCTGCCAGCTGTGTCATTAATGTTAATCAAACAACAAAAGACAAAGAGAAAACCACACACTGCTCTAATACTACTAAATTACAAGCAGATTTTGTAGGATTCATCTATTTCATTTATACAGTGAAGACTTGCAGTGTTGTTTTACATTTGATTACTTTATATTGATATAGACTTCTGTTTTAATTTTTTTTTATTTCTCAGAACTGCTATATTTGTTAAGCTCTAAGCTGTTCTTTATCACCTCCAAGGGAGGGGGTAATCTGCTCAATGCATCAACACTAGTAACACTTCACTTTAACACTTCTGTTTAATTTTTAGTTTAATATTACCTCCGCATGTTAAACTGAGATATGATAAATTTAAAAAAAAATTTAAAATACAAAAATATGAATGAGTAGTAATACTTGAAGATTGAGTCTTTTTATACCCTTTATGTATAATATAATATATTGTGAGAGTTTGAATCACATTCTAAAACCTAGAGAGTTCAGATCTTATATTCCCTCTCAATCTTCTTCTCGCTCCAGTGGTGATATGCAGTTTTGTCACTTCCCTGCAGTTCTTCACTGACACTCGTCTGAACAGTTTATGTCACTCATCTAGCCTCGCTTAAGCTGTTACCTGTGTTCTCACTGTCATTTTGAGACATCATTACATTACTTTATCCTTCTCTTTGGCATCCACATCTCTTTTTTTCCCATCCTCCATCTGCTGCTAGCTGGTTAATTTGTTCATTTTACATAAATTTTATGATGAATCACTGACATGAGAAGAAAATTACTGTTTATCATCACCCAACTGCTGACAAAAAAAAGCTCTGCACAAACACCTGGCCTGCAGACACATCAGCAAGCCTGAGCACGTCAATACGCAAATATCAACACAGACCGACATAAAAACACTGATTAAATGTGTGACGTAGTCTGAACCTCTCGTTCATGAGAACTGTGATTAGTTTTGAAAATAACAGCATACTAGACATTTGCAACTTGTTTTTTGCTGTACTTCTAAAAATAAATCGTGAAATATCTGCAATTTCATCATAGTGTTGTTCAATGCCCATTTAAAAATTGAAAAACAAACATTGATCAGCGAATCAACTTGCAGAGCACTTGAAATCCAATAATATTGCACAACAGCTGAGTTTCGGAAGTGAAAACGTACTCGGATACTAACGTCAATAATATTTCGATTATTTTCAATGCTTCATGGGATTGTCATTCTTTTTGTCATTAAAGCCAAATCTTGTACTTTTTGTCTATTTGTTCAATTTTCAAATGCTATTTTTCTTCGAATATTCGGATTCACCTCGTAGCTGGCTTATAACCCTTAATCAAAGAATTTTCTCATAAAAATCTCATTAAAAAAAAGTGAAAAATACTTCCAGAACCAAGGCTAGTGTAAAAAAAAAAAAAAAAAATGAAGCATGCACTGTTGCAGTAGGTCCACAGCATTGGTTTCCAACCCTGGTCCTGGAAGTACCTCCAGCAATGCACAATTTAGAGCTGTGTCCCAATTCAGAGGTAGCCTCCTTCGAAGAAATGCAGACTTCCACGAAGGTCGGACCCAACACAACACCACACAGATTTCCAGTAATTACAAGAAAATTCAGGCCAAACCGTTTCTTTCTGATATTAGTTACTGTAGGTAGTACAGTATCATCTCATAGTCACTTTTATCCCGAGGCCCAGAGGTTCTAAACGCTAGTGGAAGAAGTTGTTGAAAGAGCTTCAGTTTCAGCACAGCAGGAGAGAAGGTTTAAAAGTCAGATTCATTGCACTGTATACAACGACAAGCCCTGTGTGGAATTTAAATGACTCCCACTCAAGTGGCCCTAGTATACTAATGCAGATCATGGCACGAATGTTATTCTCATCAACGTCTTCCAAATATTTAAGTAGCTCCTTCTGTTGTCTGGATACCAGTAAATATTGAGGGAGAAATATTATTCCAGAAGGGTGTGTTTGCTTGTTTGTTTGCACTAATAATATGATCCAAATTTGTCAATACAAAATACAGTATATTACAGTATTATATAGTATTATTAATACAAAAATTTGCCAGTATACAACATCACATGGCATTAGATATTGCATCCTGACTGGCATTGCAACTGACTCAACCCTTTTTATAACCAGTATGGCAGGAAACCATGTTATGATTATCTCTTTCTTGGCTTGTTCATAAATGTATATTTTAAAAACTACAAAATAAAATAAAAAGTTTTTTGTTTGAAAAAATAAACCAATAGTAAAAATAACAAAAAAATGCGAAACGTCCGTGAAACTGCGAAACGTTTATTTCCAAGACGACAAGCTGTCGTTACACACACGCACAGCACACTTAGTTTGTATTCAGCAGTAAGGACAGTGACGTGGGTGAACTGCACCTGTAAAACTCAGCGTTAAAACCTGAAGTCTCCACATAACACCCTGACAGCTGCTGGAGATGAACGGGCTTTCCTTCACTCTCTCTCCACCTCTCTCTATTTGTCTTTCCAACTGACAAGTGCCAGTAGGGAGAAGATGTGGAGAATTGTTTAAATTAAAAAGGCATTAGTATAGTATAGAGTTTTGTATTCTAAGAAGAATAGATTTAAAGTTAAACTGTAAATCGAAATTAATATCCATTACTTTCAAGAAAGTTTATTGGTGCATGCATGTTATTCAAAAGAACATTGTGTTCATAATGTTTCATTTAAAATATAATTTAAAATTTAGTATAATAATAATAAACCGCAGTGTCTGTTTACACTAATTGCAAATAGCCTGTCTTCCATAAAATTATGGAATTTTATGGTCCTCCATAAAATTATGGAAGATGTCGAATCATCAACATTAACAATAGTGTAGGGGTAAGGTGCAAATCGATGTGAGTTTGAATCCGCCTTTTGCCAAACTCGCTCTACTCCCTTTTACCATCACATATCAGATCGGAAGGCATTTATTTTATATTACTGTAAAATTAAAAAAAAATATTTGAAAAGTGAATAATGTGTCTAATGGGTGTTTAATAATAAAGTATCAATAATTAATAATAATTACTGTCCCAATAAGACAGCATCCATTTAATACTTATAATAAATATTATCATTGACACTATTTAAATTAGATAGATAGATAGATAGATAGATAGATAGATAGATAGATAGATAGATAGATAGATAGATAGATAGATAGATAGATAGATAGATAGATAGATAGATAGATAGATAGATAGATAGATAGATAGATAGATAGATAGATAGATAGAGACTTCATCATCAAAGTCACACAGGATCTAAACATGTACTGCGTTTGAAATCATGCTGTAAATGTCTGGCAAGGATGATGCAAAAATCTGCAATTGTGATTCTGTGGGCACTAGTTTCCGTAGCTACAACAATAATTCTTCCCAAGAGACGTTTTGTGCTTCCTCTTCCCTGTGACATCACTTCCTCTTCCAATGAACTTTCCCTTAGGCTTATAGTTCAAGCAATACAATGGCTAATAGCTTTGTGTGTGTTTATTGTATAATATTTGAATATGTTTGTGTGTCCACTAATCTGAGTTGTTGGCTTTTTACCAACCATCTTGCTTTCTCTTTTTCTTGTCCTTTTTTTTTAGGTCATCTCTGACATGCCCACATTGTCTAAAGCAGAGCAACACGTTTGATCCTTTTCTGTGCATTTCTCTTCCCATTCCTCTAAGACAGACGAGGTGAGTAAATTCTACCCAACAAAAGTGTCTAAATCATGCAGAAACTCATATTTAGAAAATCAGGCTCAAAACCAATAAAACACTTAAACCAGTAGAATCAGATGGATTGCCAAGGAAATCCTCATGGTTTATTTTTTTGGGGTGGGGTTGAGGAAATGACTGCTACATTTGTCACAAAGGCAAACTATTGTCCCACATACACTATAATGTCACATCAGATATATCTATAAATACATGTTGTTCATATAAACCAGGCTTTCAAAGTTGGGTAACTGTATGAGGTGTCTCTTTGTACATGGCCTTACTGCTTCCGGCAATTCATTCAGCATCTAACGTAAAGCGTTTTCAGGCTTTAGGTCAAATCTCAGCGGGGTTAGGGTTGTGTAGCTCTCACACTGAAGTGTCACACTGTTTCTGAAGAGTAGATGAAAACCAGATCACAGTATAAATAATGGTGTAGTAGATGATGTTACTTCAGCTGGAGCTATACAGTTTGTTTGTTTTTTCTATACAGCTAATTTTTTTAAAGAAATTAATACTTTTATTCTGCAAGGATACATTAAATCGATCAAAAGTGACAATAAAGATATTTATATTGTTGCAAAATATTTCTATTTCAAATAAATGCTGTTTGTTTGAACTTTAATCAAAGAATCCTAAAAAAAAAAAAAAAAATCATGGTTTCTTTCCATAAAAAATATTAACCATTTTCAACATTGATTATTATCAGAAATGTTTCTTGAGCATCAAATCATCATATTAGAGGGATTTCTGAAGGATCATGTGACACTCATTTACATTTTAAAATAGATTACAATAGAACACAGAAAACATTTGTTTCTTAATCCAAAAATCGCACGGACCCCAAATCTTTAAAGCTACACTGTGTGATTTTTACCCCCATCTAGTGGTGAAAAGGTATAGGACCATCCAGTGAATATTAGTTTCTGTTCATCTCAATTCCGATTTTGTTTTAACTCCTACGGTGGCCAATGTAGTCCAAGATTAACATGGCTTCCAGTTCGACCTCGCCCATGAGTGTTAACTCAAACGTAAACGCGAAAGGCGAAGCTTGAATTAACGGTATGTCCCTCTTTGGCTAATGTACTTTCAAGATGGAGGGGCAACATGGCGACCGACATTAGAACCCCTTACCCGTATGTATTTTCAATGGCATATTATACACTCACGAGAATACTTTATTACTTGAACGAAGTAAATATACATTAATGAGCACATGTATTTTTGAAAGATCTAAGTGTTTTTAGCTAAAAATAAAGTAAAAGAGTTACACAGTGTAGCTTTAAAGGGTAGTGGATACTGCATTCAGAATACACAGCTACTTTTTTAAATGCCAGGACATCGGTGTAGTTAACATTTACCAACAGTGCGTAACCGACTGGCCAATCAGATGAATTCTTTAGCCACACCCACTTTCTAGCTTTTGTAGCCTTTGATAGAGGTTGTTTGAGATTTGACATGCCTTTCAATGATTTCAGTAAAAATTTTAAAGCTGCTTTTTGATCATAGAGGATGTGTTTTCTTGTCTCTCTACAGACCAGTGTGTGTGACTTTGGTGTTCAGCAATAAAGGGCAGCGGTATCTGAGAGTGGGGCTCGCTGTGCCTCTCTTCGGCTCTTTGGCATGCCTGCGCAGGATGGTGGCGGATGAGGGCAAGATCTCTCCTGATCAGGTGACAGGTGCACACACAGCATCACACAGACAGACCTCATGCCTGCAAACAATATATCACCTGACCAAACCACCTTCCCTTCCCCACTGCCACAGTGATTGTCAGATGGTAATACTATAGGACTTTTATATACACCAGGATACTGAATGATTATATACAGCACATACAGTATTATGGGATTTGTATGGTCCTCCAATACCACTACAAAGAATACAATGGTACCTGTTTGCTTTATAAGACCATTATTTTATTGTTTTATTCATTAGATTAGTTTTTTTAATGTATATAATGTAACAACTTACTGGGTATTAATAACTGTGAATTATTTAAATTGAATTTATGTGCTTCAAATCTGAATATTTAGTTGTAACTCTATCTAATGACAATATCCTGAAACAGTTGAGTAATTTTATCCGGTTTTCAATTTTTAATTCTCTGTTGTACTAGGTAATATTGACAGAGATCTACACAACAGGATTCAAGCGCTCGTTCTTTGATGACGATGACTTGACCAGCATCGCAGAGAGTGACGTCATCTATGCCTTCCAAGCCCCGCCCCTTTACATCAGGGGTGGATCTGCACGAATCTCAGGTAAATATTGCCAAGTTTAAGGGTGTTTTTTAGGATTATTAGGATGTTAAGTCGGGATATTTGTTTTTATCAACCCGATCTAAATATAAGAGTTGTTTTCTGAGTGAAATTACGCGTGTATATTGATATTTAAATTTAAATTTGCTGTATAAGTTCCGCTGTGATTTTGTTTTCGGTCCAGTATGATAATAGACCGGAATAGGGGCCATGATTTATATAGGGTGGCCAAGTCTGTTTTCACTAGGGTTGGGCAGAATTCATATCTGGCTCTCCTTCAGATCATGAAAATGTGATTTGAACTGGCACCACAGGATTGGCAGGAAGAGTAATCTTACAAAATGACAAAAATGTAAAGAAATGATCACACAAACGTTTTGCAACAAAGTATAAATATTGAATTATGACTAAGTGATATATTTTAGATCCCCTACATTTTTTTCTATTATTTTAGTAATATCTTATATATTTATTTCTGGAATAAATCAAAACTCAAAACAGATATCACAACTTTGAAGGATAAAAAATAAATTTGCATTGTTTGGTAGGGGAAATCACGTTAGGAAATAAATGTATTTCTCCAAAATTGGGAACAATTGCAGTTTTTAAATATTTTTTGCAGCCTTTTTTTTCCAAGATAACAGCTCTAAGTCTTCTCAAATAATCCCTGGTGAGTTTGGAGAACACCTGACAGGAGATCAGAGACCATTCCTACATACAGAATCTCCCCAGATCCATGTTGGTGCTTCTTCTCTTCAGTTCAGCCCCCACTCATTTTCTATAGGGTTCAGGTCAGGGACTGGGACGGCCATTGCAGATGCTTGGTTTTGTGCTCAGTGATCCACTTTTGTTTTGATTTTGATGCTTGTTTTTTGGTCATTGTCCTGTTGGAAGATCCAGACATGGCCCTTTATGAGATTTCTAGCAGAGGTTGTCAGGTTTAGATTTTTTTTAATCTGTTGGTATTTGATCGAATCCATGATGCCATATCTGAACAAGATGTCCAGGACCTCTGGCAGAAAATTAGACCCACAGCATTAAAGATATACGTAGCACAGTTTTTCATTTTACACATGGGGTACTTTTTTATCCCTGTATGAACCAAACCCATATTAAGTGTTTGCTGCCAAAAAGCTCCTTTTTTTATCTCTTTTTACAAGTATTTTTAGTTTACTCATGTATTATGAATTTATCAATTTTATTTGAATTTAAAAATTGAGTTACAAATCTGCATCTTGCTTCTTTAATACAGTCAGCTCTGAAAACACACTCCTTATATGAATTAAAACTTCAACAGGGCATATCAAAAATAAATGCATTTGTGAAACCAGGTTCTGTCTCATTAGGTTCTCCTTAGGTAATTGATGTGTTGGGTTCAGGTGGTTTGCTGTGTGATCTGTGGAGAGCAGAGGTGTTTAATTAACAATCTCACAGTGTTACCCTTGAGTGATAACATCAAACACACTCAGTAAAGTTTATAGGTCAGCACAGGTCATTCTGATAGCTTCCCATTCTTCATTTTGAAAACCTGGTATGAAAAGACCTTGAGACAGAATGCTGGGTAATACAGCCATCCGGATGTTTAGCCATAGAAACATCCCTTCTTGATTAAAAAGCCAGGCCCATCTGTACATGATGGCACATGTGACCTTCCAGTTGTAAAGTAATGTGTTCATAAAGTGTAATGGTCTTGCTGATCGACATTGTCAAGTTGATTTCCCAGTCATAGGCCAAGCATAAATGCAAATCAAAGTGAATTGTTGAAAGGGTCTTTGTCAGAAAGCTAGATAGACGATGATATAAACACACAAAAGTTTGGAAACTGTATGTTTTTTTATTTTTTTAAAGAAGTCACTATGGCTGCATTTATTTTTTCTAAAATACAGTAAAAACAGTAATATTGTATATCATTTTATTCCTGTGATCTTCAGTGCCACATGATCCTAATATGATGATTTGATGGTCAAAAAAATATTTCAGATTATTATCAGTGTTGAAAACAGTGAATCCACACAAAGCTTTTTTTTCCCACATATTTTTGTGGAAATTGTGATATAAATTTTGATAAATAAAGTTATTTATATTAAGAACAGCATTTATTTGAAATAGAAATATTTAGTAAAATTATAAATGTCTTTACTGTCACTTTAGATCAAGTTAATGCATCCTCTCTGCACAAATCTATTAATTTCGTAAAAAAATAAATAAAAAAAAATCAGACTCCAAACTTTTGAATTACAGTGTATAGTGTATCACGGTACTGATACTGATGTTCTGTATGCTAGATTTAATTTAAATTAAAGTGTTAAATTGCTAAAATGTTTAAGTTAGACCGTCTCGATTTAATGCGCTGAGAGAAGTTATTTCTCCTGAAAAGTACCGTGACTCTTTTTGCACATCCAGACCAGCCTGACACAACAATATTTACTTTACCAATAGCAATAAATTTTGAGGTGTGTCCAATGAGGGGCGTCATAAAACACATTTTAAAGTTCCAGTTCTGTTCGGTGATGTTCAAGGCGCAGAAATAACACACTTCCGCTTTTAATGATGTCACGTTTAAACTATTTGTCTGTTTTGTCCTTGATCCTTTTAACTGGGTGACTTCTGGAAAATAACTAATACACTAGTCTCAGCCTTTTTATTAGTTTGTTCTGGGTACTTAATTTCATGTTTCTTAATGGCTGCTGCCCGGTCGTACTTTATTAGGAAGAAAACGTCTGAAAGCTTGACATTATATTTAGTATGTGCATCTGTGTGGGTCATACACCCCACTGTGTTCAGTCTGCTGTCTGCTGTGCTCTATTTGCATGTCTCCATCTGCCTCTCTGTCACTCCTTTCCTCTGTCTATCTGTGTGTATGTCACCTTGTTTTGTAGCACAATAAAGTTTGACATTATTCATCTATATGGAGCCGCAGACAGTAAATCTCCCCGCAGATCAGTGTTTGGAGGTGACCTCTACCTCTCCTTGGCTCCCCCTCTCATCGCAGGGTTCCACCACAGTCTTCCGTCCTCTCTGTACACCTCGTCTGGGCCGGCGGGTCACCGACTGGCTGCGTCCGGAGCGCTGTCCTCTGAGTTCCTGAACCAGGCCGATGGGATGGTGAAGATCTTGCTGTTGGTGTGTAATGCAGCCGGAGCAGGACAGCAGGCAGTGAGGTAACCCACAAAATACCAACTTTTTGAGGTTGCAGATCTGGATTTGAACCACATATAAAAGTCTTTACAGTTCTAACGTTTAATATCCATCAGTTCGGCCCACCCTGTGTGAACTTGTCAACTCTTACACATTTTATTGCGGCTTATTTTTTTGTCTTTTAAAGAGAAAAATTCTTTGTCATGTTGAAATATTTACTACATTTATTTGTCTAATTTTAGTCAGGAACGTGCAAAATGAAACCAAATATTCAAACATTTTAACTATTAATTTTAACGTGAGTACACTCTCAGAAGAAAAGGTTCTATTTAGAACCTTTAAAAGGTTCTATCAGCGCTACGTATTTGGAACCCCTAAAAGGTTCTGTATACTCTTAAAAAAGGGTTCCTCTGAGTTCTATATAGAACCCATGGGGTTCTGTACCAATAGAACCTTTTACCAAAAAAAATGGTTCTATAGAACCATTTTGAAGTTCCATATATGAAGCCGGGGATGGAACCATTTCTTGCTAATTTGCTGCTTGTATATAATATCAATATATAATCAATATATCTGTGCAAACTGTAATAAGTTTTTCTCAGGATTTTTGGATGAACTGGCTGTTCAAAATAACAGCATTTATTCAACATAGAAATCTTTTGTAACAATGAAAAAGTCTTTTAATGTCACTTGATCAATTTAATGCATCCTTGCTGCACCCCCCTCCCCCAAAAAACTGACCTCAAACTTATGAATAGTATGTAGGTTAAGGTATTAATTAAAACAACAGAATTAACAAGTTCCCTTTCGAAGGGAACTCAACAATACGTCGAATGACGCTATGGGGAACGCCTCAGGCGTGACAGGTGTCTGAAATCAAATATCAACTCACAGTAATCAGGTTGACCGGCGACAGCCCGTGCATCATCAGCTTGAATGATGAGCGCGTCAATCTGGATGTATAAGAAGGGCGCCTTGAAACCGTGACAACATCTTTTCGTCTTCAGGGACTGTTTGTCTGTGTGATAGTATCAACGATTAAGCGCGCAGAGACGTGGAGAAACACTTTGCGCGAGTGTGCCGACTTGTGTCCAGATATTTGACACCGGAGGATTCACACGATCTGTGCGTGTTCTGCCTGAGAGAAGAGCATTCGCGGGAAGCTCTCGAGGGAGTTTTTTGCGCGAACTGAGAGTTTTTCCTTTCAGAACTCTCTGCTCTCGTCTGACCCACTTCTCGAGGGAAGTGGGCGCGGCATCTGAACCCCGCGGTTCCGGTTCCCGCTCGGGCTGAGGCTCAGTGGCGGTTGAGCTCGTGGAGCTTTCAGATGGAGCTGGCAGATTATCGGGAGAGGGGCGTTAACCTCGCGGATGATCTACCAGCTGACGAGGGTGAGTTACAGATTAATGTTGAACATCTAAGAAGAGAGAAAATGAGCGCTCTCTCTCTTTGGTGAATCTGTAACTGTTCTCTTTGGGCAGGGCAGGAGTTGGCTGTAATATATATATATATATATATATATATAGAAAAGGATGTCAGTTTGGTTGAGACCGAATCATTTCAGCCCTCCTGCCCAGTGTACGCTGAGCTGGTTGACATTATGGGGCGCGCCTCAGACAGATTGCTGTTGCAGTGGAGGCGCGTCTGGGAGGAACCCGCTCATGGTATTTTGGATGGCTGGTTCCTCCCCACCCATAAGCCACCAGCCCGGATGAGCCTTCCATTCGTTTCCGATCTCCACGCTGGGATCGAGAGGGTATGGAAGAATCCGTTCTCCTCACGTCTCTATCTGCATCAGCAGGCTAGTTTCGCTGCTGTGGAGGGAGCCGTGGAGAACGGATAAGTGTCGAGGCCGCCAGTGGACGAGACGTTGGCTAACTATCTCGTCTCTGGTTGGTCCTCTTCACTAAGAGCTCTGACCCTGTCATCCAAGCTGCTCAAGACATCTTCATGCTTGAATGACAGAGCGTACACGGCAGCAGGTCAGGCAGGTGCGGTTCTGCACGCCCTTGTGGTCCTCAGGCCTACCAGACCGATCTGTTGCGGGACTCCGGGCCACCAAGCAAGCTGCTGTTCTGTCGGTGCTATGGTGGCCACGGAGAGACATCTGTGGGAGCTCCCACATACTGTGGTTGCCAGGTTACAGGCCTCACCAGGCCTTCCTGGTTATGAGCTCCCACTGATTGTGGTCACCGGGTTACAGGCCTCACCAGGCCTTCCTGGTCATGAGCTCCCACATGCTGTGGTCGCTGGGTTACAGGCTTCACCAGGCCTTCCTGGTTATGAGCTCCCACATACTGTGGTTGCCAGGTTAAAGGCCTCACCAGGCCTTCCTGGTTATGAGCTCCCACACATTGTGGTCGCCAGGTTACAGGCCTCACCAGGCCTTCCTGGTTATGAGCTCCCACATACTGTGGTCGCCAGGTTACAGGCCTCACCAGGCCTTCCTGGTTATGAGCTCCCACATACTGTGGTCGCCAGGTTACAGGCCTCACCAGGCCTTCCTGGTTATGAGCTCCCACATACTGTGGTCACCAGGATACGAGCTCTCACGTACTGTGGTCGCCAGGTTAAAGGCCTCACCAGGCCTTCCTGGTTATGAGCTCCCACACATTGTGGTCGCCAGGTTACAGGCCTCACCAGGCCTTCCTGGTTATGAGCTCCCACACATTGTGGTTGCTAGGTTACAGGCCTCAAAGGGGCCTTCCTGGTTATGAGTTCCCACTTTCTGTGGTGGTCAGCTTATAGGCCTCACCAGGCCTTCCTGGTGATGAGCTCCCACACATTGTGGTTGCTAGGTTACAGGCCTCAAAGGGGCCTTCCTGGTTATGAGTTCCCATATACTGTGGTAGTCAGTTTACAGGCCTCACCCAGCCTTCCTGAATGTGGGCTCCCACATGATGCGGTAGCCAGACTACAGCCTCACCACCTTCCCTGAGCACTTTGCTCCCACTCTGTGGTCACCAGGCTTCAGGCTTCATTGGCCTTCCTGGTTGTGAGTTGTCACATGTCAGGTTGCAGGCTTCACCAGGCCTTCCTGAATGTGAAACCCCCACTTTTCGTGGTCGCTAAGTTGTAGTGGTGAGTCTTCACATGTCAGGCTGCAGGCCTCAGCGGCCTTCCTGAATGTGAGCTCCCCATGCATTGGGACTATCGGGTGTTAGGCCTTGTCAGGCCTTCCTGATTATGGGTTCCCACTTGTTGTGGCTGCCAGGTTACAGGCCTCAAGTTCGGCCTTTCTGAATTCAGAGTGAAGTACACTAACCCCTACTTCACCTATTATTGTGGTAAATCACATGACGGGATGTCTTGTGTACTTTCTAAAATCCATTTTGTATGGTAAGGGTCACGCGTGGTATGCTTCGGTCCCTTCTTATGTGGCTCAGACCCCGGTCTTCCCTTGGGTCCCACTTTAAGTGGCGTCCTGTCCCTGGCTACAGGGATGCCCTTCTCTGGCTAACTTCTGGAAGAAGTAGCTTCCACTTGGTGGAGTAAGCTCCCACAGGTTGTGGTCACCAGGCTGGGTCTCACTGACCTTCCTGAGTACGAGCTCCCACCCAATGTGGTCGCCAGGTTACAGGCCTTACCAGGCCTTCCTGGTCATGAGCTCCCACACACTGTGGTTGCCAGGTTACAGGCCTCAACAGGCCTTCCTGGCTATGAGCTCCCACATATTGTGGTTGCTGGGTTACAGGCCTCACCAGGCCTTCCTGAATTCAGAGTGAAGTACACAAACCCATACTTCACCTATTATTGTGGTAAGTCACCCGACGAGATGTCCTGTGCACTTTTTAAAATCCATTTCTTATGGTGAGGGTCACGCGCAGTATGCTTCGGTCCCTTCTTATGTGGCTCAGACCCCGGTCTTTCCTCGGGTCCCACTTTAAGAGTTCTTAAGAGCTAACTTCTGGAAGTAGCTCCCACTTGGTGTGGTTTTTCAGGTACACCAGGCTGGGTCTCACTGACCTTCCTGAGTACGAGCTCCCACCGGATGTGGTCGCCAGGTTACAGGCCTCACTAGGCCTTCCTGGTTATGAGCTCCCACATACTGTGGTCGCCAGGTTACGAGCTCCCGCATACTGTGGTCGCCAGGTTACAGGCCTTACCAGGCCTTCCTGGCCATGAGCTCCCACACACTGTGGACGCCAGGTTACAGGCCTCAACAGGCCTTCCTGAATTCAGAGTGAAGTACACAAACCCATACTTCACCTATTATTGTGGTAAGTCACCTGACGAGATGTCTTGTGCAGTTTTTTAAAATCCATTTCATATGGTGAGGGTCACGCGCGGTATGCTTCGGTCCCTTCTTATGTGGTTCAGACTCCGGTTCTTCACTTTGGGTCCCACTGTAGATGTGTCTTTGTCGCAATACATTACGACAGGCACTTCCCTTGTTCAAGCTATCTCCCACAACTGTGGTTTTAGGTCTGATTAGACCTTTTTCGAGGTAGCCCAACATTGTGGGTCTGTCAGGTTTCTAGCCTCTGGCTTTCCTGAAGGATGAGCTTCCACATGCTGTGGTCGTTGGGTTTCAGGCCGCACAACGTACGGCCTTCCTGACATGAGCCCTCATGTATCGGAGCTCCCCACACATGGGGTCATCAGGTCTTAGGTCTCTTTGACCTTCCTGATTTTTGATCCCTCTCTTACTTCCTCAGTGCTCAAAAGCGAGCACTGGGTGGAAACTCGTGGATTGAGTGTACGATTCCCATTGGTTCGAGGTTGAGTCACACTCTCCGGAGGATCCCGTCTCTGTGATCCGAAACTCGATGGTTTCCGCCAGCTTCGCGGGCCTTCAGTTTTTGGATGCCTTTTCTAGGCAATTTCCAGAGGCTCTGTCTTGGACGGACAGGCTATGGCCAGACTGTGTGTCTTAGTACAGATCACCAGGCCAGCCTGGGGGCATTTCAGGAGGAGTGTTCTCCTGAATAGTGACTGGCTGGGGGTCTCTTTGGCCCCCTAGCCACACTCCCTAGAAGGGACCCCTTCTATTTTGAAGTTGTGGTCCTAAAGCCTTTGAGCTGGCCCTGATTTACTCACGTTATTACGTTCTGGTTTTTCTTGGTTCATTAGCTTGGGCTATGACCGGTAGGGAGTGCTGTCACTGACAGCCCGATGTAACATAGGGTGAGTGGTTTCAGTGTTTCTTGGAATTACTGGTTCTGACAGTTGTCACTGCCTTTCGGCATGCACTCCCCTCAGCATGGCGGAGTGGGTATTTCGTTCCCCATAGCGTCATTCGACGTATTGTTGAGTTCCCTTCGAAAGGGAACGTCTCAGGTTACAACTGTAACCTATGTTCCCTGAGAACAGGGAACGAGACAATACGTCTCGTTGCCATGCCTCGGGGCCTGCCTGCAACAGTCCCTTCAGACGATAGGATGTTGTCACGGTTTCAAGGCGCCCTTCTTATACATCCAGATTGACGCGCTCATCATTCAAGCTGATGATGCACGGGCTGTCGCCGGTCAACCTGATTACTGTGAGTTGATATTTGATTTCAGACACCTGTCACGCCTGAGGCGTTCCCCATAGCGTCATTCGACGTATTGTCTCGTTCCCTGTTCTCAGGGAACATAGGTTACAGTTGTAACCTGAGACGTTATTTTCATGATGCACATTATTGTTATTTGATGCACATTTTTATTGTTGATAAATTCATTAACAAACATTTTCTCCAGTAATTTTGTTGACTATATACTGTATAACACTATGCTGGTATATAGAAGTTAGCCAATCATAACAAAGGTCATTTACAATGAAACTTAAAGATATACGAAGGGTCACAGGGTGGAAAAGGTCTGAACTAGCACATTTTGTGGACTTAAGAGGACAAAAACATGCTTCAAGTGTAAAATAGGGCCACTTTATGCCACGTAAAATGCCACGCTCTTTTACCTGCACCTTTTCAATTTTGCTCTAAAAGCTTCTCAAAGATTTTTTGACATGTCACATCAGAGCAACCCTTCAGACACACTTTTGACAGTGACAGTCGCTCAGAGATCAATACTCTCTTAGGCGTGAATGTGTGCAGAAATCAAATTTGTGGTGTGGGTTTTTTCCCACAATTTAATGGAAGTGAAAGAGAGATAGCTTAGGACAGATACAGTAGTTGTCTCTTATTGATGTGCTAGAGTGAGTAGATGTCAAGCAGTGTTATTTTGATTGATTTTTTTTTTCTCCCTCCAGATTCTGATAAAGTAAAAGGTCTATATTTCACCTACAAATGTTGTCATGGGTTCATTAACTGGGAATGTTTAAATCTAGAACCGTCCACAGTAGGCAGATGCCATAATAAGGGAGTATCTTCTGAGGATTCCCATATAACCCATTATTTCAGTTTGTGAACAGTGTTTTTTTTGTAGTTGTTGACCATAAAACTACTGTATTATCCATTGTTTTCATTAAAGGAGTAGTTCACTTTTCAAAAAACTTTTGCTGATAATTTACTCACCCCCAAAAAGAAATGAAATGAAGTCAAAAAGAAATGAAACGAGTCAATTCGTTAATTTCATTCGTTGAATGAGCCAAATGACTCGGAAAAAGATTTGTTCATTTTGATGAACGAGTTCGAACAGGAGAGTCACGAACGCTCATCACAGAACAGAGCAAGGCGAGCATTTGAGCTTATAAAACTTAAACTTTGTTATTTATTTAGTAAATGAGCGATCGTTTCGCATGATAAGACCCTTATTCATCGTCTGGAATCGTTTAAAGCCCTTTGAACAGTTTGCAGTTTGCACTGAAACTGTCTTTTGGACCTTGAACTGTTTGGTTCCCGCTGAACTCCATTATATGGAGAAAATCCTGGAATGTTTTCATCAAAAACCTTAATTTAAGCAATTGAGTCATTGGTTTAGGCTATTAAAATCTTGCTAATATGTAATGTAATTTAATAATAGAGATGCGATAATAGCAAATAGATTTAAAAAGACCATTGCAATATGTCAAGATGCTCTCAATGGTGAATTTGACCTCCCCAAAATTGTCATCACCACATTATTGAGGTAAAATGCTGTTTTATAATATTTATTAAGTGTCTGCAGAATCAAGCATATGGACGGATAGTTGTAATTTGGTGAAAATCTCACCATGTTGTTGTTGCCCGGGGCGAACTGTGACGTTACGAGCATCAAAGCATGTTTGTCCAGATCTCAGTTTTCTCTCTCTCTCTGCCTCCTGTCAGGGAAAACTCCACAGTTGTTTTTGGCTGAGGCGAAACCCAACACAATTATGTGTTTATCACACTCTGAAAGACTCGCTTTCCCTCAGCTCACTTGTGTTTGTTTTGTCTCCTTTATTTATGCTGTACAGATCCTGTGGCAGAAATCTGGCTGGAAATTTAATCACTAAACTCCTGCTGCTGCAAAAAAAAAATACTAAGCGAAAAAGGGTGGGATGGATTTCAAGGACACTGGAACATAGAGTCCAAAATTAAACTGTAATTTATCTAAACAAACAATGTGACAATGTTTATATAGTCACCTGAAATCAGTCCTTTGCAGTAGTACATATTTATTCTTTTAAATACGGACCCCTTAGTGGATAGAGAGATTGTACAAGACCCATGTTACATATTATATATAACGAATTGGTATTATATATAATGGATTGAGTTCAATAACATGTTTCCGGGTACTTCATGAGGCTAACGCATAATTTTACATAGTTAAAACATCTCAATGTGGGATGTCAATGAAACTTTAGCTTGTTAATATTAGCTTGGGATGTAGTAATCTCATTTTCAGGATTATTATACTAAAACCATAAATTAATTTTCATTTTAAGTCAACGTGATCAATGAACTGTATATTTTTTCTTAGGCAATAATGGAAATGTTCAATAGCTTTTTGTCGCAAAAATTAAGATATTTGTGTATAGAAATTGACTGTCAAAAATAAACCAATGCGAAACCTAAAGATTTTCTGAAGTAAAAAAAAGTGTGACAACTTGCCCCGTTCTCCCCGCACCATACACATGTATTTACCTGTGTATCTTAAAGGGATACACCACTTTTTCTTTTTTTTTTTTTTTTTTTTTTTTTTTTGGAAATAGGCTCATTTTACAACTCCCCCAGAGTTAAACAGTTGAGCCTATTTCCAAAAAAAGTGGAGTATCCCTTTAAACAAGCAACAATGAAATCAGCGTATTAGCTAAAACTGAAACATTCCTACTTTTTGGGGATAATTGCATCTATTTGAGTTTAAACTCACTAATAGTAAAACATAATTAACCTCATGTGTGTTTATCTGCAGATTTGGCCCTCCGTTTCTGATGAGAGAGGACAGATCAGTGTCGTGGGACCAGCTACAGCAGAGCATCCTCAGTAAACTCTACTATCTAATGATCAACGGATCACACGCACATGTGAGAAGAACTTTATGACTGCCATACTTCATGGAGGTTATCATTCAGTATACTAATTTAAGTTATGGAGTATAAGAATTAACTCTAGATAAATTATGGATGCAAAAAAAAAAAAAAACGAAATATGTGCAAAATTTAAACAGCCAACCCCCCAAAAAATACAATCACAATTCAAGATCTTTAGGTTTCAGAGAATCAGTAGTTTTGTTGGAGGCTGGTGATGGAGTAAAGTCTCTTGCACGATTCCATCATTTCCTCTCTTCCTGTCACTTCCTTGTGATCAGCAGTTGTTTGGTGCCCCCTGTTGGGTGTTTTCAGACACACCAGCCAGAATAAAACAGTGTCAGTCCACATCCAGGGCCTTTTAATAGGTGTCTACAGACCCCAGGATGTCATTGAAGGTACTAGGGGATCTGCGAACAGATTTATATACACACTGCTGTTCAGAAGTTTGATACGAATTTTTTAATTAATTATTTTATTCACAAAGGATGACAAAAAACTGACCTGAAAGGCTGTTTCTGATCAATTTTATATAGAAAAGAATGTATCATGGTTTCCACAAAAAATATAAAAAAGTTAGTTCACTCTAAAAGGAAAATTATCCCAATTACTATCCAGTGACTATCTTCTTTCAGACGAACACAATCGTATATTGAAAAATAAAATATCCTGGCTCTTCCAAACTTTATAATGGGAGGGAATATGCCATCATATGCCAGAACTCGACTCTCTTGTGAATGTGTGGACGGATGTTACAGAAAGATAGTGATTACAGTTTATAAAGTTATAAATATGGATATTTTTCTCACAAAAACGCATCGCTTCGCTTCAGAAGGCCTTTATTTACCCCTGGAGCCGTGTGGATTACTTTTATGATGGATGGATGCGCTCTTCTGAGGATATTTTTTAATATAACTCTGACTGTTTGCCTGAAAGAAGAAAGTCATTTACACCTAGGATTGCTAGTAAATTATTAATAGTTGTAATTTTTGTGTGAACTAACCCTTTAAGCAGCACTTAAAGAATTATGTGAAACTGAAGACTGGTCACTTCTCTGGCTTGATGTTTATAAATTCAGATTTTACAATATCACAATGGCCATATTGAAGCATTAGTGTAGTTGCACCTTCATGACAATGACAGAAATCGATATTGTCTCCAAATCTTTTTCATTAGAATTTTAGGGTGTTGTTCAAGATTCGTGTTGTTGGAGGATCAGCATCTTATAGCTACTTGAATCCTCAAGACGGACGGCCTCTTAATCACCCTGCAGTGGACAGGTAATATTGCCTGTGTGTGTGTGTGTGTGCTCACATACATGGATAAGAACAGAATGTAAGCGAATATCATCTTTCTCAGAGTTGCCAATTCAGTTCAGAGGACGTTTGGAAACAGTTTTCTGACATAAGCATTTAATTTTTATCATGCTTAATTTATCAAATGAAATAAACATTCAGTTCAGCTTTATTTATTATTCATTGTTTGCACCATTTCATAATTCATAGTACTGTACAGTATTTACACATTGAGTTTATAATAAAAAAAAAAAAAATCTTAAAAGTCAAAGAAAAACTCTGAGCTTCTGCCAATATTTATCACACTCATAAAAATATATATACAGACCTTAAGGAGTTTGTTAAATCACAGTGGGTTGAATTATGACATCAGCCCTCGAAACCATAAAATACTGTCAGCTGTGTTTTTAAAAATGACACTAATCTCATAATCATCTTATCGTCGTCTTAGACATATTACTGCGGGAATTCTCTTGATGATCAGTAGCGGTTCCTGGCTGCAAATATAGTCAGGGCAGTTTCTGGGTCGTAGCTCTTGTTTATGATACACATTTTGTAAGATTTATATTCTAAATGGTGAACACGTGCATGCACACTTTTTGCAGAGGTAGCATTATTCAGCCAGAGGGTGGCGCTCTAATATTGATGGTCAGACTTGCATGACAATCATATAGAATGCCATCTTAAAATTGTCTCATTGCCTCCATTTTTTATGTTATGTTATGTATGTTTGTGTAGCGTAAGCATGAAAAAAAAAGTGGATTAGTCTGAAATATGCCCCAATGCCTCTCAATTAGAGCACTCTGCAGTTTCATAGATTTTATTTTGAAAAACTGTGGGACACTGACACACTTACAGCTGATTATTGACTATGGGTCTATGTTTTGGATTAATATTTAAGTAGGGCTTAGTAAATCAATATTCTGGAGGTGGAAAAAGGCTGATTTGGTAAGTGATTAGATAAGAGTTGTGAATAATGTTTTTTACAGTGGTCGAAGGTCAAACTATCAATATTAATATTGTCAACAGAGACAAGTATATTTTTTTATCAGCGTTTAGTTGGAGAAAATGACTGGTCATCCTTGCATTTATTTCATCAATACAAGCCACAATGGAATTGGTGGGGAAAAAAGCAATGCATTAGGAACGAATGTACTGTAGAGCTGGGTGTCATCTGCATAGCAATGAAAGGTTAAGCCTTGAGGACGGCTAATGTGACTTAAGGGAAGCATGTAGAGGATGAAGAGTAAAGGCCCAAGAACAGAACCCTGTGGAACACCATGTGAGACAGGGGCAGTAGTGGATTTAAGGCCGCCACACACTAAAGATATTCGGGCCAATTTGGACTGAATTCTCTCCTTCCGACAATCCTTGGTTAAGTCCCAATTATCCAGCCCGTTCTCATCGGCGAAAACGGCGAAATACTACGCATATGGCACCCTTTATCATAGGCGCGGGAAGGGGGGTGCTGCGGGGGCTGCAGCCCCCCTCGTCATAGCATCAGCCCCCCCTGGTGAGGGGCTGTGGTGGTGGACTATAATAAATAGTATACTTAAAATCGTGAGAAAAAAAAAGTAAAATAGACAAAAGATACGGTGTTTGATATGGGATAAAAAATAATGGGCAGTGTATAAGATATAAACTAATGATTAATTATTTTAATATTTCGTGAATCGTTGATACACTACGCCTCCTCCTCAGTTGCTTCCGTAACCTGACACTCGTTTGAATCTCTCTTGTTCGGAGATTCATCAGAAACACACCAGAACGCAAGGCCATGTTTGGTGCACTTTAAATAGAAGTAAGAAATGGTTTTAAAACCCTTATAGGCCTATACTGCCGCCAAGCATTTTAGCTTTATTTATTTCTGTATTATGTTGCCTATTCATCGTCGTCCTGAGGCAGCCCATCACTAAATAATATGCATGTATAGTGATTAAATATGACATTAGTTACATTTTTATTTTTCAGATAATTTCTGAAAAATAAAAATGTAACTGTCATATTATTATGCCTAGGGGAAGTCAGGCATCCAATCTCGTCCGACATCTTAAATAAAACATTTTATTTGACACACAGTGATATTTGTGTTTGGCCTCTCATTTTATGTGATTGATTATTGATGAAGCGTGATCAATGGACAGCGTAGGCAGAAGTTGAGTTTCGGTGCGCCCAAGTTCACGTGCAATGCAAGTGATTGTGCCAGCGCCTTATTATTCTGCTAGATATTTGCTTCTTATTTATTAAATACAGGCAAGGTTGATAACACATTGATCACAATTAAGATATTTATATTAAACGAAAATCCTTTAAAAAGAGTCTTTTTACAGAACAAAACACAAATGAAGTGAGTGGTTAAAATCATGTCTCTCATGATGCATCTTTCTCATGCTGCATGCTCACTTTCATAATCAACATTGATTAAATAAAAAAAACATTAGTCTATAATATTTAAACAAATATGATACTAAATATATTTACTTTATTGGCAACAACACGTAACGTATACAGAGAAATTTAATGTTTTTTTTTTGGTCATAATGACGTCATATTTTTCAACCCAGGCCTTAGCCCCCCTCGTCTGAAACAGCTTCCCGCGCGCCTGCCCTTTATCGTTAATATAACACGCGAACCCAAGGCGTCATAAATCCTTTAGCGTGAGACTACCCTACCCCACACCTAAACTTACCCATCACAGCGCATGTTATATTAACGATAACGGGTGCCATGTGCATAGTATTTGGCCGTTTTGTCATATAGCGTCACATATGATGCTAAAGGATGAGAATGCGTTGAATTATCTTGTACAGATCATCTTTTTAGATTTTCCTGTGTTGTGAGGTGTGTTAAGATTGACTGAATCTGCTTGGTAGAACATCAGATCCGTCCCGATCTCGATTAGAAATGCTGTTGTGTGGGGGGGACCCTGAGGACAAACACGCGCACGCTCTGCAGATTATCTCGTCAAATGAAACGATCAGACAGCGAGCTGATGGAAGACTCACCTCCAGCTCATTCTATAGCATGTAAAGTCCATGTTCACACTGTTTCCACTCCACTACCAATTTTCTTTTTATTCCCCCGCAAATTTTGTTTGCCAACCGTCATTAAACCCTTAGTTTGTGTGGGTTGTTTGTGAATGGAATCTGTTTGTGTGGTGTGCTTTCCTAATCTCATTGCTGCACTCCACACAGAGCAAAATGGTTAACCCAATGATTTCTTATCAACATGATTGTGGTCTCTCATGACCCAGCCTTTAGCCTGATGGTTAGAAATGTTGTACTGAAGATAAGACAAGTAGGAAATGAACCACGACAGGATAGTTCCTAAAAAATGCCAAGAGCAGAGAGTCATGAAGTGAGAATACTGTGAGAAATGGTGTCATATGCAGAGGAGATGTCAAGGAGAATTTATTAAAGTGCAGATGGAGCCTCAGTCAATGGCCATAAGAAGATCATTTACAACCCCGAGGAGTGCTGTCTCAGTTCTGTGGAGAAAACCTGATTGGAAGCATTCATAAAGGTTGTGTGACGACATGGTTAGACATAGCAGCTCTGAGAGAAATGGAAGATGTGAAATTGGTCTACAATTAGCCATGTCAGGCCGGGTCTCTTTAAAACAGGGGTAACAGCCACAGTTTTTAATTCTGCTGGATTGTTTAATAAATAAGCAGCATTTTGACTGTACATGAGATAAGAAGACCTTTTAAGGGGAATTTCACACTAGTACTTTTGGTGCACACCCACCCAAGTTTGATCGATGTTAGAGTTCGGTTTGTATGGATGACGAGAACACTCTTGTTGGTTCATGGCTTACATCTCATTAACAAAGACTCGTTCCTGAGAACGAAAAAAAATGAATGGGAAAGATTCAGATATCAACACCCTATAGCAATAACTCAATAATAGCAATAATAATAAGTCACATTTACTTTTCTTTGTTAGATTATCTTCAGTGTTTGTTTATGAAACTGTATTATTAAAGCAGATCACTATTTATCTAGCTCGCATTTTCATCATGCTCTGATGCGGTGGGGTTAGTATGTGAGGTCAGATATTATTCAAAGATGGTTATGCCTAAGCAGTGGCTTTGTAACTTTTATTTGGAAACTAGAAATCGAAAAGAAAGCAAAAATAGTGTAAAATTGTAGAAAAAATGTATGTCTGTTCATTTCCTTTGCAATCCCTTTGGCTTGTTCTTCATCTCCTCAGAGCTCTGAAGCTGTGCGGCTCAGGTGGACCTCCACATGTGAAGCTCATTGTTGAGTGGGAGCACAGAATGAAAGACTGGTAATGCAACCTTTTATTTCCTTGTGAGTACTGCGATAATACAGAGATGTGTATCTGCACTTAGTACATGAAGCCAACAAAACCACCTCAATAGGGACAGTCAAATCACCTATAGGGACACTGTGTTTGTTGTTCGCAGTCTGTTTGGTAATATCCAGGAGGAGGTGGTGAAGGACTCAGAAAGCGTCCGTGCTCAACAACAACACCACGTTCAGCAGCACAGCTGTACCCTGGATGAGTGCTTTGAGCTGTACACCAAAGAAGAACAAGTAAACAACACAAAAACACACATTATACTGGATATTAGCAGCAGAATGCAATGGAAAATCACAACCAAGTTTAAATTTAAGACTAAATTTACCCAGTTAGTTGGTACCGTATATTTGTATTTTTTTTTTTTTCCACCAATTAAAAAAGTGAAGCGAATTGCTGTTACACAAAATGTCAAAATGCCGCTTGGCCAGGCAGATCTTTTTTAGCCTTGTGTAATTTCTAATTTTGAAATGTTTGTAAAATTATGATTGGATGATTTTTATTATTTTATACTGGAAATACAAGCGCCGTTCTCATTATTTCAGCAACATGCATAACAGCTGAGACCTGGACATTTTCTGAAACACATAATTGGGATGTTGTTCTTTTGATTCTGAGCAACTATAACAATAATATTTGCTCTTGTGCAGCAGGTGTTTCTTTCCTTTTGAAAGAGGATAAAAACAGGAAAAGATTAACATTGCCAAAAGTACTGTGCTTTTTATAGAACAATGGAATATAATCAACACGTAAGAATTACATGCATGTGGTTCTAGAGGACTAAATAAGCATAACTTTCTTATGTAAAACTTTCTTATGCATAATTTTTCATCCCCGTTTACGTAGCTGGCCCCTGACGATGCATGGAAGTGCCCTCACTGTAAACAGCTGCAGCAGGGCACAGTGCAGATGAGCTTGTGGACCCTCCCAGACCTCCTCATCCTTCACCTCAAACGCTTCCGACAGGTGGGAGAGCGGCGTAACAAGCTCTCTACGCTGGTCCACTTCCCCCTCATGGGCCTTGCTATGGGCCGCCATGTGGTCAAGAGGAGCAATTCTGTCCGTCCACCACATGGCTGGAAACAACAGGCCCATCACAAGCCTGAAACCAGCCGACACTCACTCGACTTCCTATACGACCTGTACGCTGTGTGTAACCATCATGGAGGCATGCATGGAGGCCACTACACAGGTGTGTGAGCAAAAGAGAAATGTGATCTAAAATGTGCCTTTTAGTAAAACCTGATGAGACAAAATTTGGGATTTTCAGCTTCACTTTGTATTGTTACAATGTCAGTAGTATATGTCTACTTGTCCCTGTTGTACCTGGACTGAGAAATTCCCATTTATTTTGTCAGCAAATGTTTTGACAGCTTCAGGGCTTTTGTGAAAACTACAGATTATACTTCTGCATTTTTGTATCCTCACCCACAGACAGTCGGTTCGACAGAGTTAACAGAAAGGTTATTGTATCACTGAAAATTGGATCGTACTTCATCTACTCTTTAAACATCTTTGTGGTAAAAAATGAAACACTATGACAACAGCTTTCTTACTTGTATGCAACATGTTTTGCTTCAGGTGGAACTGAGACAATGGCAGTGTTCATGGTCATCCAGTTTGAAATGTACTGTTTACTATTAACGATTCTTTGCGCCCTTTAGCTACTGCCTATGAAATGCGCTGGATCCTTAACTAGAAAAACTCAATTCACTCCCACTAAATGTTTCTTCTGAATTCTTGCACCCAGGAACAATACAAGTCAACAGCATTATGACTAAAAGATGCCCAGTGGGTGTTGAAGTTCTCATATACCTACGCATTTGGCATAAGGAAAGACAACAGCCTTTTTTCTATGTTTTCTCTAGTCAAGTAGCTCTGATTTAATTTTTTCCCCACCTTTTTACTATATAGGCAGCCAAGTTTTTTTAGCCAATTTGCCAACATTGAAGTCCCCCTTTAAAGGGACACTTCACCCATTTGCATTAAGCTTTGTATCTTGTCATATTTTTGAACGGTCATGGTTTATTCACGTATGTTCCCCTGAGATGGGAGAAATAAGGATTTAAGTTTTTTACTTCCTGCTTATTATGACGTAAAAATCGTCATTTTGCCTCATAATAAGCAGGAAGTCACATTTCATTGAAAAGAGACTACAAATTATTATTCCCAGGTGTGGGACCTACTCACCCTACAGGCCTATTGCAGATCAATGGGTGGGACTTTACTTGCAGAAACTGAAATCAATATCTGACCGCCATCTTGTTTAGAAGCTAAGCTAACAAGAGCTGTAGAGATAGGAAGTATGACAATGACCGAAGAAACTAAACATGAAATGGAAGAAGAGGATTTTGAAAGTCTGCTGTGAAGAGCAGTGAAGTGAAGAGCAGCTGAGGCTGATGGAGGAACAGGAGGCGGCTGCCTGTCGCGATCGAGTAGCCCGGACTGGCTCGAGCTGGGCGGACTGCTGTGCATGGGCTCTCGGCCGAAGAGCCCGGACTGGCTCAAGCTGGGCGGACTGCTAGTGCTACGGCCGTGCTACGGCCTACGGACACAGAGTCCGTCTGCCCCAGAGAATTTCAACAATGGCAATTTCTCCTGGACGAAATCTCTGAATCAGACGAGCACACGGACGTTTGTGTTGTGATGTGAACCATCATAGTTTCGCCTGACTAAACATCCAGGTATCATGCAGTAATACACCATATTTAGAAAGAAATACAAACAAGGAGTTATTCACTAATGAGTTTGCCAATGTAACGTTAACAGGGTTTGTTGTTGTGGGAAGAAGGAGGTAGGAATCGGCAAACATTTAAATATTTTAATAGTAAAATGAACAAATACAAAACGAAAGTATGAGCCAGCAGCCCCTCACTGAAGACTGATGTCCACACACACAACATAAAATCAGGCCTGTTTCTCTTTCGGTCTGCCGTTTATGCTCCCGCTTCTCTGTGAGAGATAGGAGAACGGTCGGTGTGTCTCTTGTCTTTCATTATCACTCATGCCACCGGCCTCGCGCCGTCCTCTCGCGCCGCTCTCACGTCCCTCGTCCTGCTCGCCACAGCCAACTAACTAGAAATTTTGCGTGAAATGAATTTCAAACTCTGGTGGCAGCTATCGTTAGCCTTGTTGACGAAAGAATGATTTCTCTGATGAGCGCGCAGTTCCGGATTAGTGGGTGTGGCTTGCGGTGCTGTGCAATGTGGTGCATTGTGGGTGTTGTAATCTTTCATACAAATGCACCCTTCAGTTATTTTCTGTCTTTTCTCGGTCAAGAGGGCACCCAATTCAAAAATTCTTTTACATTTAGACTACACATATGATCCACTTTCAATAAAGCTTGATGTTGAAATGGGTGAAATGCTCCTTTAAGGCAAAAAACTACAGGCAAGACCAATGTTCCCTTTCAAGGTCGATTGACGCTGTGGGAACGCTCTGCGTGATTGTATCATGAAGCACGTGTTAAATTAGTCCAATGGTGTGACTGGACGTCAGAGGCGGGTGACATCACGAACCAGGAAACTATAAAACATGTTTCTGTGTCTTCAGTAAGCACTACAGTACATGTGAAATTATTTGTCTTATTTGGTGATTCGTTTGCATGTAAATTGTTGTAGACCTATATATGTGTCTCTCTTAAAAAAGTTTGAAAACCACTGACTTAGATTATAGATGGAAAAGACCATTTATAGACAATACAGGCAATTTATTAAGGAAATATATAATCTATAAAGCTAACAGTTATTGCCCCACCTATGGCCCAATCTGCATAAAAGTTTGCATGCTTGTTTAGAATCACGTGTCCCATGTGCTCAGTTTTTGTTTAGGAATTATAGGCTTTTGGGTACACTTGAGCACATGTGCAACTAGTCCAATCTTGATTGGTGCTGCGTCACTGCTTTCTCTATCAGCTTTCTGTCCTTAGCAAGCTCTCTGTATGAAAACTGCCAGTCTTATTAAATGTTGTCTGTCTATTAAGAATGATTAAGCAGCTTCAATCTGTGCCCGACGCTATATTACGGGAGGTGACGCACACAATCTGTGTGTGGTTGCTTGGGAACCGAGAGCGCATATTCTGCTCTTGAGAGGGCTGTGGTCATTCATAAATCCCCGATGTGTACAGACAAAAGCGTGCACTATAATGAGTTTCAGCTCTGTTCCTGTGGACTTTCTTTTTATTCTTATGCAATAAAGAATCGAGTGGCTAGTAACGCATAGATTATGGGTCCACAATATATATATATATATGAAGAGTTCAGATGCAAAAGCCTCTAAATGCCATTTGAAATTTTCTTCTAAAATGACCATTTTTATTAAGCTTGTATATTTAAGTTCAGTAATTTCACTTAAATGACAATTAATAAGTAATCTTCATTGCCATTTAAGTGAAATTACTGAACTTAAATAATATAATCATCAGGGGGATCTGAGGTCGCATCCTATATACAGGCTGGCACACCAGATCCTCCTGTGACCATGTGAAAATCCAGACCATATATATCCCTGTATATATATATATATATATACATACATATATATAATTTGGAGGGAACTGAGTAGACTTGAAATTCCTTGAAGTAGTCTTGAGAAGTAGACTGAGTAGACTTAAAAGTCTTTCTCGTTCCTCTGACCACGTGCAAATTTTACAGGGTCCTGGGGAGAGGATTCACATTTCATTGAGATATTGACCGCAAACAAATCTCTGCACCAGCTATTTAGGGCAGGGTGCTTGATTCAGATTATGCAAGGCGATGGTCGGGTCACTTTCGCCCATCTAATTGCAACTGGAGCACAGAGTTAAAAGACCATGGAAAAAGGTGACACAAGATGGCTCCCGATGTTCACACGGGAGGAATGGGAAAAATATTCCAGCCTCATTTCTGCACAAGCTGCTGGATAGAACTGGCAGAATTTTCCTGAAGCTGAAATCATTTGGCTCAACGTGCTAGCCAAAATACGAAATATTTTATCTGAGAATTCTGTGCTAATTAATTTACACTGCAAACCCCTTTCTTAATAATGGATCGAGATTAATTCTAATTTTTCTAATTCTGTTTGTAATTTTGTTTTTGTAAACTGTTTCTATTCTTGCTTTAGAGCATCATAAATTTAAAGCATTTCAGAAGCATAAGTTGTTTACTCTTGTAACCCTGCATTGTGATACTGTGATATTTGGCTTGTTATTAATTACTTGTGATATTCCTAATTTGTAAGTCACTTTGTATCATTTTAAATCTATATTAAATGCACACAAGTATTCAAAAGTTTGGGGTTAGTATGATTTTCTTTGAAAGAATTATTTAGCAAGGTTGCATTCAATTGATCAAAAGTGACAGTAAAGACAAAATATATATATATTTTGAATAAATGCTGTTCTTTTGAACTTTATATTAAAGGATCCTTAAAAAATCTGTCACCGTTTCCAACTGAAAATCAGCATATTAGAATGGTTTTAAAATACAGTTTTTACTGTATTTTTGATCAAGCCTTGGTGAGCATAAGAGAACCCAAACTTTTGAACAGTAGTGTGCATGTACCTCATTACATTTTTTTAGATTAATGCTTACATACAAATTTGTAAATTGTTTTTATGTTTTGCAGTGTAAGTACTTGTATGCATGTGTGTGTAAATGTTTAAAATTTAAACAATACCATGTATGGTCTAAGTAATTCTGGCCCTGTGCATACTTGAGCATGAAGTAAGCTACATTCTGAATATAATGAATCTCTGTTTTGAACAGCATACTGCAGGAACTCAGTGGACGCTCAGTGGTACGCCTATGATGACAGCACTGTTGAGCCGGTGCCTGAGGGAGAAGTGTGCACTCGTGGTGCTTATATCCTGTTCTATCAGAGACGTGATGTCATTCCATCCTGGTCAGCGAACTGCTCACTACAAGGTGAACACTCGTATCTGCTTTACTGTATATCCTCATAACAAGGGCAAACAAACAGAAAACGTACTAAAGACTGCATTATCAAGAAAAATAGTAGTGTAGTTTTGTTAAGCATATCATTTCAGCCTGTCCGATGTGCTATCTCTTCATGAAATGTAACTTTACACTAAGAAATGTATGATTATTATTGAGTTTGTGTAGCAATGTATGTTGATAAGGGAAGAAGGTGGCGGGAATCGGCAAACATTCAACACTTTGATCACAACACTTTCACACTTCCACAATTTGAAAATTATATTACTGCTTTTGAATTACATTGTTAGAAATATCAATACAAAGAAAAAATATGCTTTGCTGTTCTTTTGAGGAATTGTTAGAAAGGGTGCCATTTAAAAATGCAGTACTAATTGTATTTTATTTTTACCAAAACCTCTAATCTACAGAACGCATAAATCACTGCTAGAGTAACTTTACTTCCTATTTATTTTTTCACAAAGTAGTGCATTCTAGGCTCGAAGTATCTATCCCACCATCTGAAGTTTAAATATTTTATGTATTTCTGTATCAGAAATGCTTAGCTGTAATAGTTCACAATAATACTGATCACGTAAGTGCAGGTGGTGAGCATAAGAGACTTCCTTCAAAACCGTTAAAGAAATATTTCCCCAAATGGTTTAACAATAGTGTATGTCCGACAATGTTTTGCATTGCAGTGATGAGAAAAAAGGCACAACTAAAAAGCTTTTCTACACAGTTCTCATCATCTTTCTCTCTCAACATCTTGGGAACCACATCTTCAGAATCCAAATATAAACACAGAAATGACACAAATGAATTCAACAACCAGTCTTAGAGTAACCTTACAACAATAACCTTGGTGAAGGAATAGGAAAACACTTGCAGGAAGGATGAGCTGCTGATCAGCCTCACTGGGAACAGATATGGTTTCGAGATGCTTGTCTCATACTGACAAAATTAAGTCTCTTTTCTTTTTCTGCTCAAATGTCTCTGCTGCTGTTTTCCTTTTCTCTCCAGTCCCCTGAAGTTATGCTATATGATTCTTCTTCAACAAATCAAATCTACACTGACATGTAAAAGTATCGAAGTTGTATAAAATGTATTATGACAACCGCATATCTCCACTGAAGCCAGCTGAGCGGGCGTTTTCAATTCATTTCTCTATGGGGGTTGAACAGAAGGCTCACACATCAAAAAGTCGAGCAGTGTTCATGCAACTTCATGCAAATGAGAGGTGAAAAACACAGGGTGACAGCAAACCGATATGAGATGAATGCAGTAACGTCTGTCTAAGCTTTTTTTAAATCTGCCTGTAGTGCTGGTGGATTCTGTGGTTAAATGTCATTCTTGCATATCATTAGATTTAATTCAGATTTAAATGCTTTTTGCACTCACTACTGTTTAAAAGTTTGGGATCAGTGAAATTTTTGAAAGTCTCTTCTACTCACAGAGGCCTTGTTTATTTTATCAGAAACACATTAAAAATCATTATATTGTCAAATATTATTATGCAAAAAAATGCAAAAATTTAATTTATTCATATGATGCAAAGCTGAATTTTCAGCATCATTACTCCATTCTTCAGTGTCACATGATCCTTCAGAAATCATTCATGATGATTTGCTGCACAAGAAACATTTATTATTATTAGCATTAATGCATTATGTGTTTTTGCAGAAACCGTGATATATTTTTTCATGATTATTTGATAAATTGAAAGTGCAAAAGATCAGCATTTATTTGAAATAGAAATCTTTTGTTGCAATTGAAATCTTTACTGTAAAAAAAAGTATGAATTTATTTGCAAAAAATCTTACTGACCACAATTCTTAATGTAAGTTAAGAACATCCGCTTTGGTTGCATGAATCAATTGCACATGAGCAAATAGTAAATTCGTCTAGGGGTAGGGTGTCCCGATTCTTGTTGAGATCGAGGGGTAGGGCTACTACATAGCCACTCGAAACTGAGATTTTTCAGAGGCTACGAGAAAGTTCACAGAATGCATTGCAAATCGCCGGCGAGATGGCTTCGTAAACGGTTAAAGCTACACTGTGTGATTTTTACCCCCATAGCGGTGAAAAGGTATATGACCATCCAGTGAATATTAGTTTCTGTTCCTCTCAATTCCGATTTCGTTTTAACTCCTACGGTGGCCAGTGTAGTCCAAGATTAACATGGCTTCCAGTTCGACCTCGTCCATGAGTGTTAACTCAAACGTAAATGGGAAAGGCGAAGCTTGAATTAACGGTATGTCCCTCTTTGGCTAATGTACTTTCAAGATGGAGGGGCAACATGGCGACCGACATTAGAACCCCTTACCCGTATGTATTTTCAATGGCATATTCTACACTCACGAGAATACTTTATTACTTGAACGAATTAAATGTACATTAATGAGCACGTATATTTTTGAAAGAACTAAGTGTTTTTAGCTAAAAATAAACTAAAAGAGTATATTAATACTATAGTCCCTATTAATACCTTATAATAATACTATAGTCATTTAAATGAAGAAATGGTATAATAAATGACCTTTCCATAGACATACATTTCGAGGAAGGAATGTTATAATCATCATGTTTTGGCCACAATCTTACGTACGGCTCCTTTAATAATCAAAACGGCATGCGTCTTGCAGAAGAACACTGTAGCCAGAGCTCTCTGTTTATGATAAATAATGCCTGGTCTAAAATATTCAGAATATAAATACTAATTAAAGGCGTAGTGATGAAACAAAAAGATGGATTCATGCTGTACTCGCTCATTATATAAATATTGTACATTTTTAACAAAAAAGTTTCATAGTGTACCTTTAAGGTTACATATTTCCATAGTGCAGCAAGGTGCATATTTTGGTATATTATTGTAAATGGTAATGGTAAAAAAGTGATGCAATTTTAGTGTTGAGATTTCAGTAAGCTGCTCTTCAATGTTACTGAATCTTACATTATAATAAATATTGATATTGTCAAATGTCCTGTAATTAGTCATGAAATGTCATGCAGAGGGCTTAGGTAACTCCATTGTGGTAGTAATCAAAATGGATCTGTTATCAGTAGCTCCCATGATTCACAGTAGAAACAGTGGAGTCGGAGCTCGACTGAGTTAAACTGTTGTGAACCGCTTCAAGTTACAGTTCAAAATAACATGATCTGTCAGGTTCACGTTTGTGGAGTTAATGCTATCAGCTTCAGTGTTGACTGTTGTGGTCTGATCAAAGTTATGATTCACCTCCACACTAACATGCCCCAGAGCATTTATGCATAAACGTTATAAACTCTCATTTATGTCTATTTGAAGATTGCAATGTGCTTCGTCAAATAGTTCTCTTTTGTGTGATTTGCCAAGCTTTGTAATATGAAACTTTGCTGCTTAATCTGCACATAAATATGACAGCTCTTTTTGTCTGTATGGCTGATGATACAAAGAATACGTTGTTCCTACTTTCCATAGATGCCGTAAAGGGGATAGTACACCCAAGATTATGAAAACTTTTTTCAAAAAGTTCCTTTTGAACTTTCTGAACAGCAAAAAAATGTTTCTTGTGCATCAAATCATCATTTTAGAATGATTTCTGAAGACACTGAAGAGTGAAGTAATGATGCTGAAAATGTCACAGTATTAGTTTTTACTATATTGATTAAATGACTGCAGCCTCTATAAGCATAAGAGGTTGAAAATATTTGATTAAATAGATGCTGCCTTGGCAAGCGTGACTTATTTCAAAAACATTAAATACCATCCTTCCCACATAATAACATGCATTGAAACTATCAACCCATCTGAGACATTTTTTTGTACAATTCTCACAATCATTTATATGCATAGCATGATTTTTGTTTGGACCCATTCCATCTTCATGCATGTTTAATAGAAACGAGACTCGCACATACAAAGACTAGAGCAAAATGATAACAGGGTTCCTGGTATTTTCAGGAACCTTAAACCATAATGCTTGACCATAATTCTGTTTGCTCAGCTCCCCAATGCTAGGATTCGGCTACCAGTTCATTATCAGAAAACAAACAGAATTCTGACTTGCGTGAAATGGGCAATGTTAACTAGGCTGCTTTTTACCCACAGGTTCCTCCAGCGTCTCTATATCAGATCACTGGCTCATCCGATTGAATGCAGACAACCGAATTTCCAATTCAACTAGTAAGCTGTCCAATTCATCTTCAGCTCCTGAGCCCCAAACACCGCACGTTCCTGTCATCCATGAGCCTCTAAATGAAGATGATGGTCAGTAAACTCTTGATTTACGTCTACTACTACTAAAAACAATAAGTGGTATTTCTTTTACAATTTAATGAAGTCATATGTACAGTAACCTGCTCCATTGTTTTGAGTCGTTTTTAAAGGAAAGTCTCTGGCTTTCTGATTATAATTATTATAATTTTAGATGTAATCAAATCAAGTCAAGTCCCATTTATGTGTATAGCACTTTATACAGTACAGACTGTTTCATTTCAATTAAATGGTGGCTGTCATAACTTGTTTTGGCCATTTTCATACAGAGATTTATTCAAATATACATTTAATAATTACTAACAGGTTAAGGAAGGTTCCACTTGTTAGATAACTACCTTAATTAACATGAACTAACAATGAAAAATACTTCTAAAATCTGTTAATGATCATTTTAACTGGCTGAGCTGCATTAGAGAAAACTGTTCTCTTGTGTTGTCGCTTTGTTGAAAACTCATTTCCAAAACTCATTTGTTTTACCTAACTTATTGTAACTTATTTTAAACACTGTTCCTGAAAATTATACAGTAACCCCACCATTTATCTGTGCGCTGCACATGTTATGGAGAACAGCTTGTTTTCGGTTGCTTTTCTAAGACTGTGCACCGCTCAGGAAAATTAAACATGGTTTTGTGATTGATTACTCCTTGTATTACCTTAGTTTTCGGACAAATATCACGATGAAATGGTTGATAACATCGTATATATAAAGTATACGAAAATAACAAAAACATACCACTCTGAAATCTATTCTGCATGATCCACTTGTTCGTAAACATTGTCAGGGTCTGAATCGGGTTCAAATTGCTTTGAAATTTACACCATCCTCAGTATTTACTGTAGAAAAGAACTTGCAGTTATGAAGGGGCAGGACATTTCCCAAATATGCCTAAGCGCTGCCAATCACAACACACTGGGGCAGCAAACCAATCACAGCACATTTCATATTTCGGAAGGAGGGGCTTCACCAAAATCGGGGTGTTCGAGCCAGACTGGGGAGAGAGGTGCTGTAATAATGTAAAATATGTATAAAAAAGTCTTTTAAACAATCAAGAATGAAAAGATATTTTAGTACACCCTAAAAACAAAATTGAGACTTCATAAAAGAGCATAATAGGACCCCTTTAACTGTATTTATTAAACTTGGAAGGGTCATAGCACTTATATATACAGTATGTTATCCTATTGTTAGTTTAACTGCTTCTATTGTTCTCATTTGTAAGTTGCTTTCTATAAAAGCGTCTGCTAAATGAATAAACGTAAATGCAAATTTATGATTTTACGATACATCAAAACAACATTAGCAAATTTCGCAAATAAAATGTGAAATTTGCTGTAAAATTAATTTGTAAGCTGAGACTTTGTTTTATCGAAAATAACACCGTAAAAAAACCCACAAAGACACACACTCTTCTCCTGAAACAGTTTTCAGACCACACGTGTCACATATGACTTACTAGCCCTCCATGTTTTGCTTTTAGGTGTAGTTGAGCCGACGCCATTTGTACGGAGCTTCCGGGGTCACAGCATGAGTATGCGCTACCACTCAAAATCCAAGCCAGGCTCAAGCAAAGTTCTTCCACTACGCTGGTCATTTGCTTCTAAGGAACGCAGAAAGCCCTCCGGCGTAGCTCCACAATTGGCAAACGACGAGCTGGTGGAGTACCTTGAGTCTGGCCGGCGGCCTCGATGTACCAAGGAGCCCATAGTCAGCATCGTGGCTAGTCCTTCACAGGTCAAAGCCCAGCTTCGCGAGGACGATTCCCTGAGTTCCCCCAGCTGTAGCAGTAGTCTCAACGGTGTGGAGCGAAGTAGCCATCGAGGTCTGGATTCACCCAGGCTACCCGAAGGCCAGAGCAGACCAGCATCAGACCTTAATGGTATCGGTTGCGATGGTTCATGGGCCAAAAGCAGCTCAACAGCAACCAGGCAGGAGCACGTAAGGACTCAAGGAAGCAACTCACTTCAAGGTTCCCCTACTGCACTCCCCAATGGCACTAGCAACAGTGCATCTCATTCCAGAGACTCTACGTTAAAACGGCTCCGGAACCAGGCGTCTGCAGCAGCTAGCAGGATTCATACCAGCCAAATGCTGACGGCCACTGGGGAAAGCAGGAGCAAAGATGGCGTCCTTCCCGCCACCAACAAGGAGGTGGGTAACGGAAAAACGCTTTCCAGTAAGAGCTCGATCAAACTCTCTCTATCCAACGGCACTCTGAATGGGAAGGGAATCGAGTCAAGGAAATCCGGAACTTCTCACAAGAGTGCCAATAAAATGGTTAGTAGCAGAGAAAACCAGGTTCGTTCAAGCACAGCTAATATAAAACGCGCCCACAGCTCATCCAGCATTCAGAGCAGACTAGATATGACTTTGAAAAGGACGTCGTCCCTCCAAAGAAATAGTATGTTGGTGCCGACCCCCCATAAAGGACTTGCGGTTGATAAATCCTCCTATGCAACACTACAAAGAATCAGATACAGCAGCACTTCACTTGGCAGACAGAGACCTGTGCCCGAGTCCTGCTTCTGACTGGTTTCTCCTTAACAGTGGGAAATGGTGTTTGTAAATATGTTTTATGCATCTGGCAACGCTTAAAAACGAAACACTATTGCTCTTTTCCTAAACCTAGTAAGGATTGTGTGCACCTTGTTTTTGCCAAATTCAAGGCAGCAGGTACCCAATGTTGAAAACAGTAGTGCTACTTAGTTACAGCTTGATTGGAAATTGTGAACTCTCACGTCACCTGTATTGCAATCAATTGCAAGTTGGGTTTCCCATTTGTATGACAGTTTCAGCCAATGTTGAGCATCCTAATTGTTTCTAATACAATAAATGCTGCCTTAGAAGATAGATATTTAGGGTGTAGGGCAGGGTTCCTCAGACTCGCTCCTCGAGGGCCGCTGTTCTGCAGAGTTTAGTGGAACCCTAGTGTAGGGTGTAAGGTACACTTGGCTAAGCTCACTAGCTTTTGAAACAGAGCTTGTGTCCCCTCTGTATCAGTCTATTGTTGGTATGAGCAATATTGAACTTGCATATCTCAAAGCCTGTTCTTAAATCTCCATTTATACCTTAAAATATGTAGCATCACACGCTAATTGCTGGAATAATTACCCAATTAGCAGTATGGATACATTAGGACCTGCTTAAATGTCAGAATTGAAGTCTGCTTTATGCTTTCAGTGGAACTGTCATGTTTATTTATGCAAGTGCCTTTTTGTACTGATCTCAGGAGCGTGATGTTCCTCGGAGCAGAATGGCTGTGTTTTAATTTTTTTTTTTTTTTTTTTTTTTTTTTTTACGCATGAATATACATGCACACACCTTACCACAGATCAAATAAATCCACAAACAGCCTAAACATTTATTGATATTACTCCCACACAGTATCCCGGATGACACTAAATGTTTCATTGTGTACCTTGCTCTTTACTGGATTCACTTGTTTTCTGACTATGCAAGCACAATCAGACATGTGCATGTCGTGCTCATCGCTCTATTCGATGGTTTTAAGCATCACCTGGAAATTGAGAACTAATTGCAAGAAGGATCAAGGTGCTGATTTTCATTTTAAAAAGAAATATTCATATTGTATGAAGGAAGATCTGTAACTGAAGATAAATTGAGGCATAAAAAAGGCAGTATCTTAGAACAATATTTAACACAGGGAAGAGGAAGCAGTTGTCTGAGAAGTTTTCATTATTGATGCTTGTCATATTCTTATGTTCGGAAATATGGATCAGAACATAATGGTTTTGGATTGTTTTTCTCAAGCATAGTCTTTTTTGTTACTGTATGTCATAGACATATACACTAGACCTCACCTGGGGGTTCTAAGCATGCGTCAAAACCGCCGCCATCTTGGAACAGGGGTCTTGTCATAGGAAATAGCTAGGTAACGCTGCTATCTCTGCCTTTACTTCGAATTCATTGATGGTGGCGGACTTTTGTGCAGCGTATGAAGTTCACGGATGAAATCTGAACTAGGAAGAATGTTTTAAAAAAAAAAAAAAAAAATTTCTTTCTGGAATCAATGATAAATACATGTCTGACCGTTGGAACAAACCAAAAAAACAAGAAAAATCGCATTCATGATGATTTATGGTGATTTTATTTGCGTTAGACCTGTGTCTACTACATTGACGCTGATGCATTAAAGTGGAGGGGCTCCCCTGTTTCAAGATGGCGGCTCTATTGACGCATTCGTTCTAATGAACTGCCGTATCCAAGGTGAGGTCTAGTGTATATGTCTATGACTGTATGTAAACGAATGATACCTCAAATTGCATGGCTTGTTGACTTTTCTGGCCAGTTACAGTCACCTAGCAACGGCATAAACTTCAAGACACTAAAAACCACTCAAAACACATTCAAGTTACCACACTCGTACATTCAAGTGCCATACAAATGGCTGAGCTCGCTTGGATAGAAATGGCTGTATATCGCCTCAAACTTTCCTGAAGAATTATGACTGCAACTTAATAAGGTCTAATTAGTAAGCAAGGCATGTAATATTACTTAACTCTGTTACACTACTTACACTTTAAATAATTAATGAAATGATAATCCCAATGCACTTTCCAGACCTTTGGAGAGATGTTGTGCCCTCATATCACTAACCAATCTGAATATGATAATGCTGTATGTGAACTGTTCACCTGAAATTAGACTCCCCGTGTTATTGTTAATGTGCACTTAAGAGCCGTGCTTATGTAACAGGCTATTTAAAAAGCAATGTGCTGTTATGATAAATGTTGTTGAGTGTAATTATTACTGTGGATGACATTTATTCTGAAAGAGCATTTTCTCCTGTGCTCCTAGGTGAGTTTTTATGCTAAGTTTTTGTGCCACGCTTTTTAATTGGATGGATTGTGTGTAATTATATATGCTGAGATTCTTGTTAGCAAGATAGAGCAAGCCATTACACCCTTTGTGCTAACACATTGCACCTAGTTTATCTTTAGGCTAGGTGTGGCGAGGGGGGCGTGGTAAAGCTAAGTCAGTGGAGGAAAGAGTACAAGAGGTGCCTCTGGGTTTTCCCCATTCAAGCTTTTCCCAATTCGGTTGTCAGCCCCGTGGGGTGCTTGACGTCATCAGAGAGGCTTAGGAGTAGGGCCCTTCTAACAGCGGTAGTGAAATTAGTATGTTATGGACCTCTGAGCAAAACTCCATACATTGGAGTGACTCTCAATGGAGATTTTGCTCCAGGCTCAAGACAAACAAAGTCGGCTGCACAACAGGGGTACATGGCAATTTACTCCGGGAGAGAAAATGCTTGTATTACTTCCAATGTCTAGTTCTAAATTACCCACCAAGTGGCAAGGACCTTTTGTGGTTACACGGTGAGTCAGGAATTTCAATCATGAGGTATGAGAGCATCGAATGAGGTGATTCATGTAAAAATTTATCAACTCAGTCTTTTAAAACGCTGGAATGAGGTGACATTGGTTGAGTTTGCATGTGGCTGTTTTAGCAGTGGAAGATCTCGGACCAGATGCAGCTGATCACTCTGATCCTGTAGCTCACCGATTTAGCCAAGTTGCGAGCAGATTTTACAGACGTGTTTTCACCCCTACCTGGACATTATACAGCACCATATCAAAACGATCCCCTGGGAAGTGGCGCACAGCCTTCCCTAACGTTACCTGAACACAAGAAAAAAGTGATCCCTATAGTCTTAGTTCCTAAAATGGACGTCTCTTTCCGTTTCTTTGTCGATTACAGGAAGGTGAATGTAGTGTTTCGAAATTCAACACTTATCCAAGCCCCGAGTTGACGAGCTGCTTGATCTGTTAGGTTCGGTTCAATTTTATTCGACACTGGATTTAACGACAGGGTATTGTCAGTAGAGCCAGACTGATATATTGGTCGGCCGATATTAGGCATTTTCCAAACTATCGGTATTGGTTATAATGGACGATAAATGAATATTTCAAAAATAAAATAAAAACGGACTAAACACGCTTGAACCATGTCATGAGTGTTGGAGTTGTATAGTTTTTCCACCAGAGGGCACTCACCAGGGGACGGTCCCTGTTGGCAACACTCGTTGAGTTGGTCACGAGACGTACATTGCTTGAATAACAATTAAAGAACATCCCCATCAGTTCTCTCAACTCAAATAAGCATGACCAAATTTGTGACTATCATGTCCAGTTTTGGTGATGTTAAATAAGCCGAGAGTGATGCGGAATTAGCTAGTAATAGTTACGTTACGTTGTGTAGTTGACAGACTGTCCTTTTAACTTTTGACAATGTGACTTAAGTATTTCTTTGATAGCGCTGACAGTTATAGCAATGAGACGTATCATCTCTCCTTGGCCTGTTATATTGAAAATGTATGTTTTAAAATCAATAAATATTTGTATCGGTATCGGCCTTCAAAATCCTTTATCGGTCAGGCTCTATTTGTCAGATTCCCTTGCGATTATCCAAGGAATAAACAAAAACACAAAAAGGAAAAAAACACAACGTCACTTGGATTACACCAATTTATTACTCTTCGGGTTGGGTTGTTTGGGGCTCCCGCCAACTTTCAGCGTTTCATGGACACAATCCTCCGGCCACATACGTAACGCATATGCCGCTGCCTATCTCGACGACATCATTATATCCAGTAAAGATTGGCTGAGCCATCTGGAACATCTACGCACTGTCCTGAGTTTGCCGCGGGTGGCTGGACGCACAGTAAAAACCTGCGGAAGTGTGCAATTGGGCGTGTGGAGGTACGGCATCTGGGCTTTCACTTGGGATATGGGCAGGTCCGTCCCCAAATTGGTAAGACCGCTGCAATTCCAGCCTGCCCAAATCCCAAGACCAAAAGCAGATGAGACTGTTCCTGGGGCTGGCGGAATTTTATAGAAGGTTTATTCCTAATTATTCGGACTGATCTCACTAAAAACAAAGGACCAGATCTGATCCAGTGGACGGAGCTGTGCCAACAGACCCTAACCAAGGTTAAGGCTGCTCTTACCCTTTCTTAGCTTTGACATCCCTTTTTTTGTTGCAGACTGGCGTGTCGGACAGGGGGCTGGGTGCAGTCCTGTCCCAGGTGGAGCAGCCGGTTCTGTATCCGAGTCGTAAGCTCTCAAACAGAGAGACTAGGTACAGAACCATTGAAAAAGAGTGTTTGGCCGTTTGGTGAGCCATCCTCACCCTCCGTTATTACCTCATGGGACGGGGGGTTCACTCTCTGTTCGGACCTGGGGCAGGGAGAGGGAGAGACTGTTATATTGCTGTGTATGTTACTGTGGAAGCAGAGATTCTGACACTATTTCTTTTGTTCATTTTTTCTTTGAGTAATAAAAAGCTTGGATTACTCGCCACCCCTGACTTTTCCGTCCTTCTTCCTTTGAATATATCACAGTAGTAAATTAAAACACTGTCACAAGTTTTCTAAAACTCTAAAACTTGTTTTTAAAAACAGATGCATTTGCACCTCGATCAATAAATCTTTCAATGCCTCTAAGATTGCCGTTCTGAACTGTTTATGCGATGACGCAATGCAATCAATACCAATGTATGCTGTGAATGCTGTGAAATGGCACTGGAGATATGAATAAAACATCGTGGCCGACGTAGTTGCTATTGCTGTTTCCTCCTCTGTAACATCCAAGTTTGTCTTGACAATTATCCTCCATGAGAAGTTCACGTTGAAGTTTATTTTACACATACATTACAATGTGCAAATCATGAACATTTCGGCTTTCTTTTTCCTGATAGCAGGAAAATCTTGACCAGAGACTGCAAAAAAAAATGTTTTGTATGACTTTAAGACAAGAACTCTGCGTCTCAATATAAAGAGCAGAGACATTTTACTGACAGTCTTAGTTGGCTTTGATTATCCACTATTGTCCTGTTGACAATCAAATTGCATGACTGAGCTGAATAGTCTTCTAAGGATTCTGTTTTTCTTGATGGTTCGAGGTACTTGAGCAATTCCTTTCAGGTGAAATCAAAGGTGTGCTCTCAGAAACACATTTTATAGTCATTTGGCTTCTTTAAGATATTGATTCAGACGCTTCCTCCTCCTCAGTATGAGTCATTTAGCCCTGCCACAGGATTAACACCCAGCTATTGAACGCTTTTATTCAAATATGTCCCATTTAATTCCCCCTCCCATCATTTGAAGGCTGATTATGAGCTTGTTTGAGACATTTCATGTACCTTGATATTGCCATCAGGTTATACAACACCCAGCCAATGTACTATATTCTACCCTCCACTGGAGGCATATTGCATTAGGCTTGAGGTCAATGAGGTTTATTCACAAACAATGTAATTGATGTCCTACAGTCATATCATTGGAGATCTGCAGCAGAGGGTAACAAGCTAATGATATAGTAAAAATGTTAAATTTCGAGTGCGCTGCAGGGACTCTATAAACCCGCAAACAAGTTAGCGTTTTAACTCTTCTGGTTCCATCATATAAAATATAAAATACATCAGTAAAACCCCCTTCTGATTTTTTAAAAGCTTTTACTTGCTTTCAAAAATAAGGTTATTAACAAGTTTCTAAATGAGACTGCAAAGGCTTTTGTGGACATTAAACGTCATCACATCGAATGGGTTAACTTATCTACTCACTAGCATGTGTGTTTGTAATTGTGCTCTTGCAAACCTTTATAACTCAAGCTC